ATTGCATGTAGATATATTACATTACCCAAGGTCGCTTGATTTGACTGTTACTTATCATGAATCTTGAGTTTGAGTTTTTAACTATACAGTCACATGAAAAATAATAATAATAAAGGTATCCGATAAGTATTTGTAAAGCTGCCGTTGATGTAATAACAGCCCTACAATGAGAGTTTGGAAGCCCAAGCAGATGGTAGAAAACCCCAAGTTTCTCAAAATATTGAATGACGGAATAAAAAAATACCTCCCAACTACAATACAGGATATTTTATAAAAAAATTTTTGGTCCAAAATATAGGACATTAGTTGAGTTTTATATATATTTTTCAATTGTATCCATACTTTATTATATTCTACTCAAGTTATTAATAATGATGTTTTAAATAAGTCAAATATTTTATTATTTTCACTCAAGTGTACAATTGGAAATGTGTGAATTATTTTTTTAAAAAAATCAATATTTTAAATTTTTTTAGAAATGTAAATTAATTAGTTGAAATGATTTATATTATCTTATTCAAGGAAGTAACTTCCAGAGTCTTTCTGCATCATTATTGCAGTTCATTTTGCAGTTTGATTGCGCGTCCAGTGCAAAAATGAGTCGAACAGGAAGTTACTAATTACTAGTAGAAGTGAATATTGAATCGTTCAAATGAGACATGACGTACGTTTTAAATCTAATTCGGTCAGATTCAAAACCTAATTGAAAATAGTTCTTCTTAAAATATTTTCAAGATTCACATGAATTCAAATTCGAGATATTATATTTAAGCATTCATAACATTTTTTCATCAAAGCTTATTGTTTAAGTTCAAATAAATTTTAAATTTTTTAATTTAAGTTAAATATATTGGAAGTGACTTTTTTTATGTTTAAAAGTGTACTCTTATCAAAGATAATATTATTCAAAACTAAATCATATATAAATTAAATGTGGACACAGCTGCACAGAGCATGTTCAAACATTAATTTAGTATATTATAAGAGATAAACCTCTTTTCATATATACTTAAGGTGTGTTTAATTAAAAAGTTTTGGAGGAAAGGGAGGATCCCTCATTTGGTTAAGAAATTTTGAAGGGCTCCCCGCCTCTCCCTCCAATCAAACACAACTTTAAATATGACCCTTGTTAATTACTCCTTTGGTCTTATATATTAGTTACTTTTTAAAAGTATAATTTAATTTACTTTATAAGTCATTAATTGATAAGATTGTTTTGTTTTAAATTAAAATTTTTAAATTACCTTTAAAAAGGAAGAGACAGAAAGACAAAAAATTATATTATATTATTTATTTACTTTTTACTTTTTATTTTAAGGTTATATTTAAAATTTTACTTATTTTTATTTCTTATAATTTTATGGCTAAAATATATAAAACTCTCAAACTTTGAGACAGTCGTATATAACCCCCTCACTTTTAAAAGTTTAAAAGTAACCCCCTAGGGTCCTAACCTTTAATTTTATTTTTCAAAACCCTCTATTGTTATTATGTTATTTTTTCATAAGGGTTAAAATATCATTCAACTGAAAAATATTATTAAACAAAAATATTATATTGTATAACTATTTATAATAAATTTCTTATATTTTTTGCATAGTTGAGGCATTGATAACAAAAAAAAATGTTATTATCACTGTATAAAATTTTAAATATTTATGTTTATATTAGTTTTATTCATATTTTTATCAATAGTGCATGATTTTATTAATTTAAAATATAAATTTTTATTTATATTTTCATGTTAGATTAATGTAATACGTATGGCTAAAATATTTAAAATTTTAAATATTATCATATTAGATTAATTTATCTTTTAATACTAGAAAACTATGCACCATTGATAACAAAAGAAAAATTAACACAAAAGTAAATATTTAAAATTTTATATGATGATAATAACATTAGTTTTAGCTATTATCAATACCTCAACTATCTAAAAAATATAAAAAATTTATTATAAATAGTTATATAATATAATATTTTTATTTAATAATATTTTGTAGTTAAATGATATTTTAATCCTCATAAAAAATAATATAATTAATAATAAAGGATTTTAAAAAAAATTAAAATTAATGAAGTTAATTTTAAACTTTTAAAAGTAAGGAGGTTATATGAAATTATTTTAAAATTTAAAAAATTTATATATTTTAACTTAATTTTATTATATTGATATTGATAAAATTAATAAAATAATTTATAAATAATGTTGGAGTGAGTAGCTGGCATTTCGCCGGCCAATAATGGAAACGGGAATGGTGCATTAATGAAGTGAAGGGTGGGTAGGTTATGAATATTGAATCTGAATGAAAAATTCGAAAGCAACTCTTCTCCGCCCTCATTTAAAACCTGCGTACGACGGGACATTAATTCTCAAGATATTTATTTTGATATTTCCATGCATCAATTATAGTTCATTTGGTAGCTTCCTTTTTTCCTTATTCATATTAAATGTCATTTAAATGAGTATATATGTATATATGTAAGCTTATCGTGTCTAAATATTTCATAAATTAAAGATCAAGAAAAATAGTTAAGAATAGTTTGTATTATTAAAATGCTACAAAATTATCACTAATTTCCAGTATTACCTTACAATTAAAATTAATCTAATTATTTTAATTACTTTTACTTTCTTTCTTGTACTCCCCCCGTTTCATTATGTATGTCGTTTCAAAGAAAAAAAAAAATTGTTTCATGAGTTCATGCCATTTTAGACTACCAAAGCAAATATTTAATGATATTCTTCTTCTGATCTTAGCCTTAAAGAAAAATTCAACTATCTTCCTGCACCATTTTAGAGGCATTAAAGTGAAAATATAATGAAATAGAGGGAGTATATCTCTCTACAATGCAACTAATAATTTATGTAAAATAATAATTTAATGTTATTGAGTTTTTACAAAGCATCCAGTATATTATACTACCTCTATCCCAAATTATAAAACATCTTTAAAAAATATTCAATATCTTAAAATATAAGATATTTTGATAAAAATATTTTTTTATTAATAATACTTTTTCAATATTACACTTTGCATATTTTCTCTTTAATATTCTTTCATAAATTGAATATTAATTTAAGGGGTAATAACATTTTTAAAATTTTATAATTTTATCTTAAAAAAATAAGATTTTAAAGTATATTTAATAAGTTTTATTAGTTTATGCAATTTTATCTAAAAATATCTTATAAAAATACAACTTACAAGATTAGGAATAAAAACGTACTATATCAAAGTGCCTATCTAAACGAAAACAAAATAACCAACCAAAAAAAAAAAGCCTCAACAACTTTAAGGAATATTATGCCCTACACAATTAATAGTTGTACCTTTGAACCAAAGCTTAATTTCATACAGTTGATTTTATTATTGGCAGCAGAGAGATCTCCATTGCTTTAAAACTTTTTGGTTCAGAGAAAGGATGAAAGTGAAATGAATCGTAAAATAAAAACAAAAATAAAATGATTAAAATATAGAGAGAGATAGGTTAACCATGTCATTGAAAAAAAGATAATTTAATTTATAAGATTGAAAATCATGATTCATAATGTTTGTGTAATGTACAGTGACTCTTACATTTATGATATGTGATATTGAATTTTTATCATATTTATTATGAGAAAGATAGTGATTTAGTTTATTTTTATTTTTTTAATATTTTTTTATTATATCCTTTCTAAAAATCAAAATACCAAACCAACGGTAATGCATGGTAAACTCCTCATAATAACCCAACAATGTCCATGCCAATTTTTTCCTTAAAAAAATATCTATATCTATGGGAAGTCATACTATTAATAAGTGGATCATGAATAATGTTACTCATTTCAGGACCAAAAATATAAAAGATCTACGTTATCATTTTTAAGTATATCTACGACCAAGCGTTAATTATATAATACATTAATTAAAGATTATGTTAGCTTGTGCGTGGTAGTAGTAGGACTATATTGAAACGTCTCTATCTTTTAGTAATTAGTAATTAATAATATTCGAACACGGACACAATATTCGTACGCAAGATCAATTTTTCTGACAATAGCATTCAATAATCGATAAATTAAAGAAATGCACACTTTTCTGGTTGAAAGTACTAGAAAATCATGCTCGTTTTCACCACAAAATTAAATCAAATCGGTTGACTTGATTAGAACAACAAAATTTTACTAGTCGTTGGATTAAATTTTCCACTCATCATTTGTTAGATCAATCCTAGCTAACCTATAACAACTTCAAAATAATATGTGAACGTACAATAATGTAAGTACACCACCTGTGGAGCTTGTATCAACTAGCCAGGAGGTTGATCTAACTTAAACCAAATGTCTTGGGTTCAAAACCCCAAATACGCAGCAACAATTAAATTCTCTAAGAGACATGCCCTTAAAAGTGTCTGCCAAATATCGAATAGTTAATTGGGGTCAAAGACATTCCAAATACCAGAGTGAAAGCAAATGATATAATTACTGGAAAAGATGAGAAAATCGGAAGTTTCCTCCAACTCTTTCAACCATATAAATGCATGCATGTAATGCTATATTATAAGTTGAACTTAACCAAATAACAATATTTTCCCCAAAAGAGAAAAAAGACCCAAAAAAAAAAAAAAGCCGACTAAGACAAGCTTGAAACTTGATTTGACCCAAGAAACACCTATGATCACTGTTCCTTTCATACTTAGCATCAGGAAATTATAAGACAGAGATAGGTTTAATAATCTCATTATATATATAGATATATATATGTAGATTGAGTTTTTTTTTTTCTCTAGGGAGAATGATATTAAAGGCTCTAAAAGAAAAATGATTAAAGATTTATTAATTTTTTATTGAATATTATATTGTGAAAACATGAATATTTTTTTGTGAAAAGTTGAACTTTAACTTGTATTTTTTATCAAGTTTCCTCAAAAATTCAATAAGTTAAAGTTTAACTTTTCATAATAATATGTCTGCATTTTTATAACATAATATTTGATGCAAGACTGAAAAGTTCTTATTGTAATAAATTTTTTTTAGGACCTTTAATGTTATTTTTTATTTTTTCTAAATATGTGATCAGGATCACTTGGGAATACTATAAATCAGCGGCTTCCAGGTTTTAACGTTGTCGTCGTCGTCCTCCATCATCATCGTCTTCTTCGAGTTCGACCCATAATTCTTTTTATGAAAGTCAACAAAGAGAATCAAAAGTGAAGCATAGAAAACGACATTGAAGCTCCAACCCAGAACCCCAGAACAACCCGACCCGGAAAAGTGGTACCACAGCATAAGGCTCAAAACGAGGAAGCTGGAGTAGAACTGAACGATCTGGCAATCCGTCACGAGCTTCTTCCAAGTGGGACGAACCCCGAGTGCGCACGATAAGTAGTAGGTGTACATTAGCACGTGCACAGAGGCGTTCGTCACGAGCACCACCGGGAACAGCGACTGAGACGTCTCGAGCCAAATGTAGCACATTACCACCACGGCCGAGTGGTGGTACACGTGGAGGAACGTGAGGCGTTTGATAGAGCCTGACAAGATGATTAAGAAAGTATCAACGAATTCTAGAATCTTCGAGAGGTAGAAGACGTAGGCCCAGAAGAAGACGGCGCCGGAGGGAGGGGTGTTCGGCGGGAAGCAGATGATCCAGTGGAAGTGAGGTGCATGGGATATGGTGGACAGGAGGCAACCGAGGGCCATGATGAAGGAGAGGACGAGGAGGAAGGTGCTATGGATGGCGGTGATGGGTTTGAGAATCGCCGGAGGAACCGGAGGGAGAGAGTGACGAGAGAGAGAGAAGGTGAAACAGAGGTAAAAGACGACGGTGAAGACGATAAATTGAGGAGACGAAGCTAGGGTTTGGTTGGGAATCCATGTGAAGTTCTCAATAGAAGGTTGCCTCACAAGATAGTACTCTATGGCTGAGAAAATCTGACTCATTTTTTGTGTTGTTGGAAAATGGCTTTAATTTCAGCACCGTCTGCGGCGGAAGTTGCGGCGGCAGAGAGGGAGGGAGGGAGGGATCTTAGCCTTGAGAGGTTAGAGAGATGAGAGTGGCATTTGCTATACAAGAGTAACTAATTAGGGCTTGTTGAAGTTGGTTTGTGGGATTATGAGAAGCTAGAGTGAGTCTTATTATATTGAGAGTTGTGAGGTGGTGTGCATGTATCTCTTTCAAGTACGGTCCCAACACTCTTTCACGTCACTTCAGAGTCCAGACTGTTTTGTATGTATTGATTGTGCATGCGAGGGAAATTAATTTCACAACTATCTTTTTACCCCCAAGAAAATCAGTTTCCCCCCCCCCCCAATTGCCTGGTTATTATCTTCTTCAACTCTCTCTCTCACTCCGCACAATGATATGGAAAACTGTGGAAAGAAAGACTCGTGAATGTGGAGTGATATGGTATAAGAGATATGTAGCAGAATTCAGTAGCACTCTATGAGTGTGACAGTATGTTAATATAACTTCATTAATATGCTCAATTACGATATAACATGACATGAATCATTACATTTTCATTATATTTTTTTAATACACTAGCATTTCCCCTAGCTTATATAGTACATCCAGGGATTTCATATATCATTTTAAAAAACATCCAACACTTGGATCAATAAACCAGTTTAACTAGAGATCTTAAGTTCAAGCTAGTCTTAAATATGCAACATTGATTAATTCTCAGTGAAAGATCTTCCTCAAATGGTACCCTCAATTGCTGATTAGATTGGCCCATGTTAAGTATTAGTGTTAATATAACAGTGCCGCTCCATGATTTTACTTTTTTAATATGCATGGGACACTGTTCTTTACTTTCTCTTGTTCTTGCATATCCTGCTCCAGTATCGTGCTCATCACTTGATAAATATCTAGATGGTCCAGATTTATAGCTTTTATTTTTTATTTTTATTATAAAAAAAATATGAAATTTTAATAAATCTAGTTTATCATCAATTTGAATAATATAGATTTGACCTGAATAGTCTAATTTAATATTAATTTTTTTAAATTTTATAAATTAACTATTCAAATGTGCTTTGGATAGATTGGATCCTGAGTACATTCGGATAATTAATTTATAAAATTTAAAAAAATTAATATTAAATTGAATTATCAGTTGAATTTATATTATCCAGATTGAATAAGATAAATTTATTAAAATTTTATTTTTTATTTTAATAAATATAAAATAAAAACTGAAAAGTCTAGACCGTCTAGATTTTTTCAAATTGCTTATCAGGTGATGAGCACCAAAACCCAATCGCTATTGCATCTCTCACTAGACCCAATTTTTTTTTGTTTTTGTTTTTGTACAGCACCCTGTATTTTGTCTGCCTCAGGCGTCCAGCAAAAGAAACTTAACAGGAAAGGAATCAAAAACTAATTTGGATCGAGTGAGGATATAACTTTTTTAAGTGATCGAAACCTCTATCACTGATTAACATTACTATATATTCTCCGAGCTCAAACACGAGACTTTTGTTGATCAAGATGTCTGAATCCTTGATCTATTATATATTATATTCCACGCTGCTTTTAGACTCTTAAGTTAGCTCTAGCTAGGTGGCCTCTCTGGATGTATTGTTGTCATTTCCACACTTTAATCTTGTTAATTACTTTTTTTTTAAATAAATTCCACAAGTTTTGGGTTAATACTTAAACAAAGTAATCTCTTGATTGCATAATTTATATGTCATATATACAAAACAACATGCAAATCTAACTAACCTTTTCACCTAACATGAATTCAGCTGGTCCTCTCTTCATTTGAATTGATGTAACTATTTGGGGTTTTTATATACATATATATGTATATATATATGCATAATAAATTTTGTTGTACGGAAAAATATATAGATAAGATATTTTGGGAACTGGTGAAGATATGTAGAGAAATATCTGATATATATGAAAAAAAACAAGACAGATATCAGTCAATTCAGAAGGAGTCAATAGAAATTGATGATGAGCATATGATCTCCCCCGGCCTTCCCCACATATAGGTGGGATAATAAAATCCACATAATGTAATGCGTATGCATGGGGACAAAACTTGAGAAATGGTCATAAATATATAGAATATTAAAGGAACCTGATTAATTATATTTAATTTGTTTGAATAAAAAATGAATAAGGCCCAAAATACAGGCTCAATAAGAGAAGAGTAGGCCCAAAAATGCAATAAGGGCCTGGCTCCAAAAACCTGTATCATGTGATAAAATTCAAGAATACATTGATGTTATGTTTGAATGCTTGTGGATTAAATTTGAATTTAAATTTGAGTCAAATTCATTGTTTGAATAATTAAAAATGTGTAACTTCAATTTGAATTTGACCCAAATCGAAATTCAAATCCTATTTCAATCCCTTTGTAATTTTAAATCCTTTCTAAACCCCCTATCATTTCAAATTTTAATGGAATCTTTTCTCTTCCTTTGCGTTCGTTCGTCAACTTTGCTACCTTTTCAAGATTGGATTGCCAACATCGACAAGAACCAGACTGCAGGCGATGACTGGAACCTGATCGCTAATGTTAAATGTGACTAGACAGTCTGTGACTAGGATTGAATGGCAAGCTTAAACAAAGACTAAACGGCCTTCTTTGATCAAGACTACACAATATAGGTGGACTGCAATAGGACAGCTAGTGCCATTCACTGGTGACGACAAGGACCAAATTGCCAGTAATGATTAGGATCAGGCAGCTAGTATTGATTAAGACTGAATGATCGATGTTGACTAGGACTAGATCGCTAACATTGACTGGGACCGGATAGCATACTTCGTCTAGGATTGGACAGTCGGCATTGATCAGGATCGAGCCGTTACTACTACTGACATTCCAAACCCAATTAGTACTGGTAGTTTGGTTTTGGTGAAAGTTAGCAATTCGGTCCTTATTAGCATTAGAAGTCGGGTCTTGGTTGTAGTCAGTGGTCCTGTTCTAGGTGACATTAACAATCCGATCCCAGTCAGTATTAGTGGTCTAGTTGAGACAAGACCACCAATGTTTAAGTTGTCGTTAAATTCAAATGTAGAATTTAAAATTTAAAATTTTACTTAAGATTCAAACAAATGATTTTAAAATTATAATTTAAAATTTTTATATCATCTAAATAAAGGATTTAAAATTTATGAATTTTAAATATACAATTTTAAATATAAGATTTCAAATATGAGATTTCAAATTAAAATTTTCAACATAAATCTACACATCCAAATGTAACCTAAAATTATTTTGAATCTCAAACACATCTTTCACACTTAGACAACCGCAGCAACCAGTTTTGGCACACTTAAATATTTGGTGGGCTAAAAGACTTCTTGGGCTAAGAAAATTATTTTTTCTCTATTTTTATATTAATTTTCAAAATTTTAAATTCTAACACTTGCATGGTTTGGTATTTAGAAGTGTTTTTAAAGATACCCTTAGCACACCCAAAAAAAGGAATTTTTTTCTTATATTTTTTATTAGTATTTTCAATCTCTATAGTTTTATCAAGATTAGGTGATATTTGTTTCTCATGTCACTAACGATATTAAATTATAAGGACTATAAAGAGTGAAAACAAATTACAGAGATTAAAAACAAAACTCGATAAAACTATAAGGATCAATGATTATATTTTTTTTCATAATTTAGTAAAGTATCTTTTCACTCTTATAATCCTAACAACATTAGTTTTAAATAATTTTTTTAATATTAATCATTATTTAAAAAAATTAAATTTAATATGTTAACATTTAAAATATTTTGTTAATATTTAAAAGTTCAATGTAAGAATTTTATTGTTGATGAAACTAACAGTATTATAATTAAGGGATTAAACAAAATACTTTATAAAATTAAGGAATCAAAATAAAACCTCATATAAAGTTAGGACTAAAAGTATGTACACTTGAACTCTAAATATTTGTCATTTTACTGTACTTAGTTATTAATAGACTTTGTAATATTGTGATACAAGAATTAAGTGTAATTCTCATCAAAATTTTAACCTACCCCATCACTACTACTTTCTAGCTCTTATATATTACCATTACATTACACCGATTAAGGCATAAAAAGTTGTTGATGGGCACGAAATTGGCTAAGATTTTAGGCCATGTTTAGTATGCAATAACCATGCAAATGGAATTAGAAATAGAAATGAGATTTTAATGGGAACAAGTTTGGTGCATTTGAATTGTGATTTTAAGGAATCCAAATTCAGGGAAATTTCCTTGAATTGGATTCCGTTATAATGAAGATGGAATTAGTTGAATTCTTGAGAATTAATTTCTTCAAACTACTATGCCTTTCATTATATCTTTGCTTTATTTTTATACTTGTTTCATTCCTCGTTGATTGTCGAACGTCAATAATGGAGCCTTGAAGCACCCAACTCTAGTGATGACGTTGAAGTTAGCTTGAAGGGACAACCATACTAGAATGGAGGTGATCACCAAGAACGATGATGATGACCTTGCGTTACTCCTTCTTCCTCCACAGCCTCCATTGATGGCCTACCTACAATTAACCTAATGGTACCAGGGTTGGCTACAACTTCACTAAGGTAGGAGAGGTTGCGGGCTCGATTTCTGGAAAAGTTTTAAAAGACCTCTTTAGTGGGATGAGGAATAATTCATGTACTATCATAGGAAAAGTAGCATGTGGGCCCGTGAGGGGACACATACCAGCACCACATTTGCTAGCATAAGGGGTTGAGGGTCGTGCTATTACATAAATTAAACTATGGGAGTGAGATAACTAGCATAATTGTAATACCTCTATTAATTAAACACATAACTAGCATAAAAATTAACCTTAAGGTAAAGATTCCATGATAATTTCAACTAATTAAATCAATAATAAAAGATATTATGGAAAGAAAAAGATCAACCTTAGATATATAAAAACTCAAAAAGGCTAACTAAAAAAATCCCGTAGAGATGGGATCCCATAAATCATTAATTTTAAAATTGAGTTTAAAAGGTCATTTAGCCATTATAAATTGGAGTAAAAAGTGTTCAGGAAGTATGAAAAATAATTAAAGTTGAAAACAAGTAAAAATGAGATAAAAAGGGTCATTTTTGCTTAATAGGGGTACTTAGCTATGGCATAGAACATTAAGCCGCGGCCAACACTTCCAGTGAAGCTTTTGGTTGTGGCCAATTCTCTCTTAGCTACAGCCAAATGGTTTGGGAAAGTCTTTTGGCTGCAGCTGAAAATTTATTGGTCACGGCTAAAAATATAGCAACAACTGTCATAACAACTCCCCAATCATGAACTTTCGACATGCATAACTTTTGACTCAGATCTTTGATTGAGGTGATTCAAGTGCTCACATGTCAAAAATTTTCTAATCTAGCTAATGGTTTTAGTTTCATGTCAATCTGACATTAGATAAAGAATTTGAATAACCAGAACCATAATTTCACATTTTTACCTTTAAACTATCAACCAAATGTTCAAATCTCAAACTATAAGCCATTAGCCTACACAAGAGCTTGAACCATACTTAATAAGTTTTAATGTACTTGTTTAAATAGTCACAATCATCAAACAACTTTTAATACAAGAGTTGACCACCCAACCACCATAAAGCACATAATAAGAGGGTGAAAATGCAATTATTTGCATTCAAGTTAAATAATCACTCAAAACATGTTAAACTCATCTAACTTGTCAAGATATACTTGTTCAAACTATTTTAGCATACTACTATGATCAGATTAGGGGTTTGGACCCTTCTATGGCTAAGAAAGTCCAAAAATGACTAAATTCAATGTTTAAGACAATAAATGCAAGTAAACTTCAAACAAATATAAGTCAATATGAAAGGCGCCTAGTTGGTAAATATTGTATCAAATTATACATAAAAGATAAACTAGAGACATTACAATTGATTACTCAATCTCTAGCTTTATAGGCCTCCCCTTTATTCTTAGCTTGATTCTTGCTTATAAATATTAAACTATGGGAGTGAGATAAACATCTCAATAACCAAAAAACTTAATTAAAGCATATTAAAGTGGGGCACATATAAACAAATAGGAAATTTATATCACACATGTCAATCACATATTAATCACATTATAACACAAGATAGTATGTCGTATGATCAATGCAACCACCTTATATCCCTCCTTATATCTTCTAATTGAACTTATGGGCTAACAACTCGTATAGGTTTAGTTCGTGTAATTGGATTAGCCTCGCTCTTCAATTATGAAGGGTCACCCGACCAAAGGCTCTTGTACTTACTCTTGGACTATGGGTTCCTTACTCAAATTTTAGGGTGTCACAAGTGCCCGACCCATACCATCCAATCCAGGATCAGTGATATTGAGCATCGGCCTTACCCATCATGATCAAACTTAATGGAGGCCATACCACGTGAATTTACCATTCTAATCTTCTACTATTTCAGGGTGAACTTCCACCCATCATTATCATGCAAGCTCATTCAACATATGCAAATATATATTCATGCATATCTTAATAGCTTAACACATTCATAAACAAAACATGCAAGTTATCACATAGTCATAAAACATTTTTATCACTATTAGGCTTGTTTATCACATAACATTAACGCAAAGTCATTATATTAACAATCATGTCCATATTATCCACCTTAAACCAATGATAACACAGCATAACTTATAGTTACAGACACTATGATATATAATAATTAAAATTCTCGGTTATCTCAACTCTTGGTTGACCAACCAAAAGTACTCATGAATATTAAATGAAATCTCTAATAAGCTCAATAGCACCAACAATAGTCAATCTACAATTAAATACACCAATAGTCATTAATGACTAATTATCTTAATTAACTCTAATCAAAGCCTACATCTAAAAATCATATTGTAGTCATCTACCATAACCAAATCCCTTTTTAGATTCCATTAGTTCACTTAGACTCTCATTAGTCTAATCAACACCACTAATAACTCATAATCTTCCTATCTCAACAAATTAGCTCTAGTGTTTACTCCAAACCCTACCTTGAAATCCTAAAACATCAATAGCATCATAACTCAAAAGTTAGACATTTAAATAAACTCTCATTAATCCCATTGAAGTTAGAATTTTAGGCAAACTCATAACTTATTTTTGGATTCCCAAAGAACTACCCAAAAACCATGGTGAAAATGCACAAGAGAGGAAGAGGAGAGGTTATAAGTATTTACCCAAGTGATTAAAAGTTCCAAGTAGACTCAATTAGATATCCACAGCAAACCTTAGCAGAGCTCTTTTCGTTCACCTTCGAACTCCTACTCAAAACTTTAATTTTTTTGACATGAAAAGCGAGTTTAGTAGCTTAAAAATCAACTCTTGGCTGCGGCCAATAAATCTTTTGCTGCAGCCAAAGATTGAAATTTTAGATTTCAAATATTGTCCATCTAATTGAGCCTAAATATGGCTCAATACCACTTAAGGTCTAATTCTAAGCCCTAATTAGGATTCGATAAACGCATTAGCCTTTCGGACATTATCTTTTAATCTAAGTTAACTCTTAATTGTCTAATTTGTCCTTAATTGACCCATTAAACTTAAATTAAATTTTCTAGGATGTTACATTTTTCGTGTAGCATTTTCACCCCTTAAGTAATTAATTTAGAGCATCCACTACCTTAACGTTAACTCACCACATGTGGACTGTTATAATTGCTAAGTTGGACTACATCTTGACTGAAAATACTAAGTTGAACTAAATTTCCCTCTATCTGCAACCTTCTCTCTCCTCTCTCTTTCCCCCTACCTACTTTCTCCAACGTCATGCATGCATGCATCGCTTATGCATCTTATAACTGAAGGTGGTTTTCAGTCTTATGTGGTCGATAGAGTAGCGGTGAAAGAGGAAGAGCTACTACATGAAGGTGACAACTATGAATAGAGAGGGAGATGAAGGAGACGATTAAGGATTAACAGCACTGATGTCTCTGTTCTTCCTTGTTTTTGTTCTTAAAAACAGAGGCTGATCAATGGTCATATTGTTTACTTTGAAAGGCATCATCTATAGGATAATTAACAAGATCATGATCGACACTGGAAAGGCATCAACATGAATGGTGTGGATTGGCTTTTGTTGCTAATGGAGAGCATAATGGGTTGTTATAACCTTCAAACATCAGTGGGTGTCACCATCGTCACTGCAAATGCTAGCACACAACTCGTCTTCCTCATTATCTTCACTTTAAACATCCACAACACATCTATCCTAAGTCATCATGATCACTCTATGGTTGGGGAAGAATGTTAAAAGAGCTTGAATAGGTGGTCTTAGAAATTTAAAAAATCACTATAGGTGTTTTGGTTAGCAAAATCATTGTGGGAGGCCAAGGAAGAAGTAAATCATCGCTGGCAATGGAGAGGATGAGCTTCAAGATTGACGGCTATGAAGAGAGAGGAAGATAAAGATGTCGAGCTTCAAGGATGGCAATTGTGAACATAACAAAGGCAATGGCTTTGAGATAAATGATGATGGTAGAGGTTGTGAAGCTTTAAGCTTCATTGGAAGTGGGTGAGCAATGATAAGGAGAAGAGCAAGTATGTGACAAGGGTGTCAAATCAAGCTTCCAATATTAGAGGGAGATGATAATACTGAAGACTGAGGCAGTAGTAGAAGAATCATCATCAAAGGGAGATGATAACAAGTCACATAAAATAAGGCCCACAAGAAAATTTTAATGAAGTTAGTGTGGATTTGACGTCAGTGTAACATGTACAATGAATTAATTACATTAGGGGAAAAAATGCTACGCGAAAAACATTATGATACTAGGTGCTCCTCAGAGAAAGCATCTGAGGCAAAAATGCACTTTTAGCCAAAAACAATTATTACTATTTTTTTTAAATAAATAGCTTTATTGAGGAAATGATTAGAACATAATATCAAATTACAAATTGCTCTATACAATTTTTTTCATCACTAAAATTCAACAACTAAATATTAGTGACTACTTTATTTTAGAAAATGACTAGTTTTCTTGTGAAAGTGATTAAAATAAAATAACAAATTACAAGTTCTAATGATCTTTTATTTTTTTAGAAGGGTAAAAAGGTTTTTTCATATTAAAACTAATTGACATATAAAAAAATAATTGTCATATTTTGCTTTACTTAATTTTTATTTACATATTTCGGGTATAATTTTCTTTCATTCCCCTTATATTTTCGTATACGTAGATGGGATAATTATTTATTAATTTTAAGGGAAATTTAGCATAGGTCTAAAATTAATTATTCAATAACATTATTTGTAAACCTCGATCAACTTGTAAACTAGTGAATTGGTTACCTAGCTGGTTTGGTTAATTAAAAAAATCAATCACCTATAATTTCGCTTTAACCTAATCAAAGTCGGCCAACCCAATAAGTTAATGAGTTGACTCAGGTAAGATTTTGTTATTTTTACTTTTTTTTTTATTTTTTTTCCTTTCTTCTTTTAACTATTGAACCCCAATCAAATATAAATTTCTTGATCAATAATTTTAATGCTATTATATTTTATTATTGTCAAAAATTTATAATTATTATTTTTATAAGGCATACATAAAATTTTATAAATAAATTTTTCATTTACTTAAGAATTAATAATTTTTATTTAAATATTATAGTTTTTTATGTGAATATGTTTTTTATATTTAATTAAACTATATTATTTTAATCGTGGTGGATATTATTCTAGTTAATTAAACAACTCACCTCTAAACTACTAGCTTAACCGATTCAATCACTTGTTCGGTTCTCAGTAGCAAACTCACCAACCATAACCCCAACCAAACCCCATCTCGTGAGTAGCGGATTCACTTCCCCCGACGAGCAACAAGCATTCTACACTGCGTTGGACGCCGTCCACTGTCGTCAGCCCTGCGTGGTTGTTCTCGGTCCGGTGACATCGATTTGTTCAATCTGGCTTTGAATTTAGATTTGAATTTGTCCCCGGCGTCATCTGTTCCCGGCGTGGTTGTTCTTGCTTTGCTTTAAATTCATTTTAAGTTGGCTTTGAATCTGTTGTGTAATCATTTGAATGTTGACGCTTTTGAATTTGGGAATATTTACAGATTGAGTTTATTTATTTATGTATTTTTGGATTCTAGTTTTTGCTTGAATGCTGTGTAATTCGATATTATACTTATCCCCTGTTCATTTTGATTACTAGCGACTTGTATGATTTTGATTGTGTTCTTTTGCAATGTTGGATTTGTTGTGTATTGGCATTCTGCTTATTAATCTTTTTATATTATCATCAATTCAGAAAATTCTCAAGGTATTTGTGATGTATGATTTTGGAAATGATTTGGCTCGAGTTGTGTAGAAGTATCTGTAACAAAAATTAAAAGGGTATTGTATCAACTATGCTTATCTCAAAGATTTCTGCCCCCACTGAGTGTAATATAGGTCCTCCTATATTGATGGCATCACTTTATATACAGCCTAACCTGTATGTGTGTGTTCAAACGCAGTAGAATAGCATATAACGGTATTGTACAAAATCATTACATATTTGGTATGCTTGCGCCTTGCTGTAGATTGGTGAATTAATGAACTATGGTTAGGTTCAGCATTTGGTCTTATTATGTGCAAAAATTGTGTTCATCTTTTGGGTCAAATTGTACAAAATAAAAGAAAAGGTTACAATAGTCCTAAACCCGAGCTCAGTTTGGATTGGTTTGGATTGATTTGGTCTTATCCTTGGTTTTTCCAGGCATGACCAGGAACCCAAGCTCCATTTGGGCTGGGCATTGGGTTGATAGTCAATCTAGCACAGCCCAGTTTGTGTTCACCCTCATACATTTATAAAAGTAAAAATATAAACTGCTCCAAGTTTTTCTCTATGAAATATATTACCAAAGGACTATTTTGCCCCAAGAAAATGAAGGATTTTTATCAGGGTTGTATTAAAATTGCTGTCTGAAATGTTGAATCATTTCTCATAAATTTGGAACTCTAATCCCAAATCAAAGCTGCAATCCTGCAACTATACAGCTGCATGAAGACATTGTCCCCATTTTTCTGGTCGATTTTGAATTTTCTTCATTTTTTTTTTGGGCAAAACAAGTAGTGCTAGTGCTCACAGAGTGTCATGCAGTAATTTCAGGTAAGGTATGATTTCGACACTTAGCTGAAAGCCTGAAATAGTAGTTTGCCTATTATGTTTTCCTTCGATGTTTGGTTGTTGAGAAATCTTGGTGAAACAACCAGAGTGGCTTACAATCCTAGAAATGAAGACCCTTCATTTGTTATGATACTAAAGCATACCCTCACTCTCTAGCTATATAGGGCCCTGACATTTTCTTTGTTTCAGGTATAATCAGGTATCACAATGCCTGATGTTCAGTCCCTTGCTAGTGATTTCTTGAATCAACTTAAGAAACGGTATATTTTTCTTCACTATCACTGATAGAGTTGAATGAGAAAAGATTTAGATACAATCTTGTGGGACTGAGAACTCATTTCTGTATTGTATTATGTGGTGTAGTAAAATTGAAGGCTCTCAGGCCACAGCAAAGCAGACAGCAGAAGTGCTTCGGTCTGTGATTTCTCAACAGCGGGTGCCTCACACAAATCAGGCTGGAGCTCTGATTGATGCAGTAAGAGCTGTGGGGGAGCAGCTCATTGCTGCAAATCCTGTTGGTATGCTAAAAAATAGTTTCCTTCGAAAGTTTGCATGCTTTGTTCATGTCTTGACCACAATTTTTATTCCAGATTAGCATGCATTGGGTATTTTTTCCACCTGATTGCTTGTGTAAGTTGAATCATGTCTTCTAGATGCTTTTTTAGATCATCATATTGTGTATGTGCGGTGTATGTGAATCTTTTGTAATGTGCATAAATTGTCTTTGTTTTTTTTTTTGGATTGCCTCAAGGGTGGTAATAGATGGTCACCATCCTTGGCATCTTCTGTTAATTGACTCCAGCTACGTAGTGAACATGTGGTTGGTCCTTATTTGGTTTTTACTAATTTACATGTATGTTCTAGAGAGTATATTACTCATTATCTATTGATTGAGGATAGTTGGGCTTATGCATTCCCTAAACTTTTTGGTAGTGGAGCCATCTTGGCCTAAATCATGTATCATAAGTCCTACATCAGGAAACCTCATAAGTTGAGTAGAATTTATAAGTATGAGGAGTTCTCCCACCAATAGGCTAGTTTTTTGGGATGGGTTCTCTCTTTGGACTCGTACTCATAATGCTACTCCTTTTATTAAGAGACCGGTGTCACAGAAAAGGCTACCCATGGAGTGTTCTCACTGGTAGAAAACCAAGTGAAGTACTGTGGAGTGGAGCTATTGAGGACGTCGGCTTTCAAAGGGGCTAGCATTGTCATGAGTCTCACATTGGGAAGCCTCACAAGTTGAGTGGGGTTTATAAGTATGAGGGGCTGTCCCACCAATAGGCAGGTCTTTAGGGATGGATTCTCTCTTTAGACTTATGCTTGTAACACCATGGATTCCCAAGCCAGTGTTCCCCAAAGCCCACTGCTACCAGCAAGCTTTTATTATTAATTTTGCATATTTATATCTTGTTTTCCTATCATTAGATGGTATGTTTGTAATTGCAGAGCTAGCTGTGGGTAATATTGTAAGGCGAGTTTTGCACATTATAAGGGAGGAACATCTTTCCCTTGCAACGGATGCTATTGCTGGTTTGGGAATATCAGCAGAAAGCGATGATGAAGATGATGTGGATCGAGATGATCATCCTGTTCTATCTGCAGCTGCTGTTGCCGCTGCTGCAAGAAGCACTTTGCGTCCACCATCATTGCAAACTCTTCTAGAGGATGTGCCTAATTCAGCTGCCATTCCACACGCATCTTCTTCAGGGGGTGAATCTGAAGGAAAAAGTAGATGTGAGATGACATGAGACTATGAGAATGTTATATCCTCATTTAGTTATTGAGTCTATCATGATATAAGAATGCCATAACTTGGATCCATGCTACTAGATGATTTATTTGCCTGTAAAAGTCACTGGCACTGATGTGATTAAACATTGAGTCCATGCTGTCATGTGTCATTTTATGATAATTGCCTGTGTCTTCTATTTAAGTTTAGTAATTGTTTTTTAATTCTCTTGCAGCAGCTGACAAAGGTTCCCGAGGTCGGAAGCTGAAACACGATGTCATTGAAGCTGTCAATGATCTTATTCAAGATATTGCCACTTGCCATGAACAAATAGCGGAGCAGGCTGTAGAACACATACATCACAAGTACTTCTTCCCCTAAATGCTCTAAGAGGATGTTAATATTTTTAGATTTCCCTGCTATTCTCTAAGTCCATGTTGGTTGAAAACATGTTAGTAGGAGCAATATTTGCTTCCATCAAGCTTTAATTAGCTGGTGAAAAATACATTGAATGTTTTCTAGATAATCTAGGGTCTTAAGTTATAGATTGAATGTGTTAGTGTCATATATATTAGAATTAAAATGAAGGAAATTTCTGAGTTAATGCATTCTATTATAAAATTCTTTTCTTGTACTAATATATGTTAAATAAGGGAAGCGAATGGCAACTTCAACTGATTCAATCTTAAGTTTTCGATCTGTAAATGATACTTAAGATCCAAAAGCATATCAATTAGTAAACAAAAGTTTAAATTAACATAGGTGGTTATTGATATACAGATAGAGTGAAATTATTTAACTTCCCTTACCTCTTAATTATGAATATTAAAAAATTATTTATTTTTATTTTTATTCATTCAAGTAATTTATTTAAAATGAATTAAAAAAATTGACTTGCTGTTATGTCATGGCAAGCTGTTACTTTTCCTCATTTCTTACACAGCTGATTGCATGCTTTTCAGTGAGGTAATACTAACGCTAGGGAGTTCAAGAACAGTGCTGGAGTTTCTTTGTGCTGCAAAGGAGAAGAAGAGATCATTTCGGGTCTTTGTTGCTGAGGGTGCCCCAAGGTTGGTAGCAGTTGCTAACTAACATTTGCTAGGATTATGCCACCTGCTTTTTTAGCAATAGGGATTTATATGTAGTATTTATAAGATTAAATAGTGCTGAATGTATGGGCAATCAGATACAAGGGGCATCTCCTTGCAAAAGATTTGGCAGCAAGAGGCTTACAAACCACAGTAATAACTGATTCTGCAGTTTTTGCCATGATATCCCGAGTAAACATGGTACTTGTAAATTCTTGTTCTATGTCTGGAGTAGAATCTTTTACATTAAATTTAAACTGATTTTGAATTTAACATTATGTAGGTTATAGTTGGAGCTCATGCTGTCATGGCTAATGGAGGAGTTATTGCCCCTGTTGGGTTGAATATGGTTGCACTTGCAGCTCAAAGGCATGCTGTTCCTTTTGTTGTACTTGCTGGGAGTCACAAGGTGAATTGTTAGAATATTATATCCATCTTTGCATCTTGTTACATTAAAGCAAATAAAGTCCTAATGACTTTTCACTTTTGATGTCTTTTCATATTTCTTGTCTTTCTCTGTTTAATATTTGAAATAGGAGACCACTTGACTGCCATACCAGTATAAGGGACGTATGTGAATAATTGTTTGTACAAGGACTTGAACTGGGATAGTAGTTTTATATTTTTAATTCCTGTCCATTTTTAGCTGAAAACCAAGATCCATTCAATGGTTGGATTTTTTATTTTTATTTTTTTGCCCTTAATAGTTGGATTTACTTTTATGCTTTCTTAATTTAAATTTTGCTAATGCCTCCTAGTTCTTTCCAGAGTATGAGAGGTTTGCATAATTCTTTGACTGATGTTTCTGTAGAAAAAAGCTCTTTGATCACTGTCTCTGCAAGTTATTTGATTGAATAATTGTCAATACTGATAAATTGGGAATATCAAAACAAGCAAAGAAACTAGATGATCACCAAATAATTATATTGTCAAATGTTGTATTTCATATTTTCTTTCTTCCATCTCTAGCCTCATGCTGAGTTATGGAATTGTGTACTTTTCATGCACTGATCATAAAATCTAATACTAAGAAACTTTATGATCACTTTAAGAATGCTCTTTTATCTGCCTCCTCTTATGAAGCTTGAAATGGTTTGAAGTAAAACGTTTAATATAAGTGGGTTGTAATGGTGATACTTCAATTTGGCTAAACCATATCTAACATGTTTTCTGTTGGAAACATTTCAATTTCTAGCTTTCAGGCATGCTTATTCTGTTGACAGGAGAAGTGGGGTTACTGTCTTAAATTTAAAATGCTCATGCTAAAGTATATGGCCCAACTGGTTAATATGATTGCTGGACACTAGCACGTTTACAAATAGACTAGTATAACAGCTTCTTGTTTTGATATTAATGTTATGGAAAAATATTAGTTGATATTTGCTGCTATTCTGACACCACTTGGTTTACATAGTCTTTGCTGGGTGGGTTACATTCAATTAATGGAGTACTGCATTTCCTCATTTGGTGTCTCTGGCTATTAGGGGTTCTGGCCATGTTCCATCACACTCTGGTCATAATCTAGACTTGCAAGATGGCTTAATGCACAGTATGTGACTGATCTGGAAGACAACCAGTAAATAACTGATGATTTGGGAGTCTGTATCAGAAAACTTTTGACCTTGATATTTGGAATTGAATAAGTAATAACGTTTCGTATGTTGAGAATGGTAAAGCTGCCTCCTAGTCATTGATTCAGTTAGGATGTTGCTTCTTGATACAATGCTATTACAATTGCTTCGATGAATCCCTGGGTTTCTGTATATTAATAGTAGGCAGTCTATAATGCCATAGTCTGGTTATATAACTGGGTTGTGATTTGCTTCATGATTATGGTGATTAAAAACTGCTCTCTTTTTGACAGTTGTGCCCTTTGTATCCTCATGATCCTGAGGTCTCGCTGAATGAGCTGAGGTCTCCTTCTGAGCTGCTTGACTTTGGGGAATTTTCAGATTGTATGGATTCGCCAAGTGGTGCGGGTTCTCTTCATGTTGTTAATCCAACATTTGATTATGTGGATCCAAAGCTTGTTAGTCTCTTCATTACTGACACGTAAGTTGAGCTGGGTTTCAGTAAAGAATCTTTTTGGCTTTCCCCTATCATTAGCTCTTGCAAACTATTATACTCAGTTTCCTTGTGCATTTTCTCGTATGGAAATTACTTTTTCAGAGGTGGCCACAACCCATCATACATGTACCGGCTCATAGCTGATTATTACTCTGCTGATGATTTGGTGGTGAAAGGAGGAACTATTGCTGGGAGTTGAGTTTTTACCCTTAATTTGGTAACTAATTAATATAGGTCTGCAGCTGTTAATCAATCTTGAGGGGTGATTGTACTGAAGAAGCATTAGCACACATTTTTTAAAACTGGGAATTTTTTAGAGTTGCTGTTTTGCTAAGATCAGAAGAAGAATGTAATCCTATATAGGGCTTTTTGGAAAGCGCCAAGACATTTAACTCATTAGTAATGTATAGGAACTGGCCTTTCTCTTGGACGGTGGTGGTTGATAACTAGTTCTACTCAATAGAATTTTAACCAAGGATGTAACTTCTGTTATTATGAGTCAATATTCACATGGCTTTTGACAATCAAGCCATAAAATTATGTTTTCTGGTAATCTCTGTTACGAGTCATTATTCATATGCCTCCCCGCTCCCAATTTTTGAACCCCCAAAATTCTGGGAAAGAGTTATAGATAAGTCTTATACAATACATTTAAATACCATAAGGTCTATTGACAACTTGGCAAATCCTTTGCTTAGTGTGTTCTCTCTCTCTCTCTCTCTCGGTTTTTTTTTTTTTTTGTTTGAAATTTAGGGAGGTAGGTACTATTGGCCTGAGATTATAAGTGATAATTGAACCCATGGCCTGTCACTGATAGGGGAACTTGCATGCTATTAGGCTGCAAAGCCATTGGTATTTTCTTTTGCCAAGTTGTCAATAGACATTGTAATATTTAAATGTATTATGTGAGACCTCAAACTAATTCTCTTAAATACTTATGTGATAAATGTGGTTTAATTGGAACATCCCATTGACATCTCTCAGGGAATTATTTACCTTTTCATGCTTGATTACCAGCGAATGATTAGTCATGGGCTTGAGAGAAGTTAGAGATAAGTTGTGTGAAAAGAGAATAAAGCTTGTGATACTGTGAGGATTGGATTATCGAGGACTATTATAATGGACAATATCCAGTGAGACAATGGAATTCCATAGTGCTGACACTACTTGAGCCTGTCCTATTAGTCCCTGTCGATGAAATGTAACTCTTTTCTCTGTCGGCCTAATCCTATGATGGATAATGGCCGTGTTTTCCCTCAGTCAATATATTTTTGTCTCACTTTTTGAGCCCCTAAAAATGATACTTGTAGCATGAAAATTTTCATGTTTATCTTTGCAAAGGATTGTTTTAAAAGTCAGATTAAATTAAATGGTTGGATTAATAGAACCTTTGACCGGAGCCGATGGCTCGATTTGGATAAAAACAGTTTTTTTAATTGAGTTGGATTGGGCTGGGCTTGGATTACTATTAGGCTAAAAATTAAAATTAAGTCAGGAATTGAAGCGGTTTTAAAAAAGTTAGATCGTTTTGAATATAATATTAAAAAAAGTTTAAAAAATTAAGAAATTAAATATCTACTGAAATTCAACTTTATTTAGTTAATTAACATATATAAAATATGAGTTGAGATTATTTTTTATAAAGAGGTTAATAGATATAAATATAAATGCAAATACTTTTAAATTCATTCATATTTAATTTAATCAAGATTCACTTATATTTTACAAGTTATAAAATTATAATTTATAATATTATTAAATTTATTGTTATGTTATCTCATTTTATTAATAATTGGCATACTGTAGATTTATTTTTTATATTTTTATTATATATATATTTAATATTATTTTTATTTAATAATTACATTATTTGTTCAGCTACTGGTTTAACCAATTATATTATAAAAATCATAAATCATTGACTTATTCAATTTAACATTTGGTTTGACTTTTAAAATATTGTCTAAGTTGATAGATTATTATGACTTTGAGGATTTTTTCCCCCACAATGCGGCAATATATTACTATAAAATATACTCCCTTCATTTTGAACTGAAACACTTTTAAATTAATTTAATTAATAATATTTAAAATTGTGCATAATTTTCATTATTAAAACTTTATCAATTACACCTAATTAAAGACATTTTTAGAAAAAGATTATTAATTATACTTTAAAAAATTCAAATGTCTTATATTTTTTAATGTAATTTTAGAAAAAATACATTATAATACCGACCAAGTGCCTTATGAATGTGGGGAGTAATAATTTATAGCTTCGATTTATTCGCATAATTTAGTTGTATAAATCATCAATCAATATTATAAAATTCATAGCAAGTCAAATGATTTACTTTTTTGGTATTTTTTATAAGGTAGAGAGAGATTAATTTTGATATTTTCTGTGTTCATCTTTATTTTTATGTCATTATTAAATGCTAAAAAATTATTAAAAATAAATATTTTTATTCTTATTAGGAGATAGAGGTAGAAATTTATTAAATTTTAAGATAAAATTAATAAAATTTAAATTTTTTTAATTCCAATAAAATATGTTGAAAGTAAACTTATAACTAAAATTAGACAAATTGCAAGATACTTTGTTTTTTTTTTTTCTGGCCACAAGGGAGTACAAGATATGAACAATGTAATTTTTTATAGGTTTCACAAAAACTAGATTTTATACATGCATGGAGTATTAACTTAGTTATAATGTAAGAGAATTGAGAAGAGATAAAATTTTAATGAGTTTACCTAATTGAAAAATAGAAGTTTAAAATTCTTTAATCCTGATAAGATTTTACATGTTAAATTTACATGTTTAAAAGAGAGAAGTAAGTAAAATTACATTTTAAGTGTTAAAAATATAAGCATCGAATTATTTTTTAAAATTTATTATCATGTATAAATTAAAATTTTAGAAATAATTTTTTCATGATCTTAGAAATAATTTTTTTCATGGTGTGACATACCTACCATTTTTCAATTTGTATAATTTTGATTTGAATTGTGTTGTATGTTTCAAATATATATTTTTTATTACAGATTCATATTTACCATTCATTTTTTCTTTGACAATTTTTCTAAAATTGAGATCCACTAATTTTTATGAAGTATTTTTTTATATTTTAAATTTTATTATTTATCTTATAAAATATAATCATCTCTTTTTTTAAGAAAAAGTAAATTTCATGATTCTCAATTGTCAATGTTAAAGGATCTATTTTCTGTTTTTTTTAATTATAGATATCACATTTACCACTAAGACTTTTACTATTATCTTTTCTTCTCAATTATTAAATTATATTTTAAAAATATTATATATTATATTTTTTATAAAATTAATATTATAAAAAAATTAAGAATTCTTATCATAGATTTGTAGCAATTAGATTGAAAATACTATATATAAAAAGTATTGATTATAAATTATAAATATAAGTAGAAAGATATAAAACTTACATAAAGGTCCCTTGTAGTAAAGTGTTCATTAACTATCGAATATCTGAAGTTATAATTATAAAAAATAAAAATTATAATTATAAATTACTGATAAAATGATTGTAAATTAATTATTTAATTAATATAATATATGTTTAATAGAGATATTATCATCTGTACAATTTAATTTTAAATTATACTTAAGTATTAAGAGATTTGGGTGTAGTATTTGAATTTTGTGAGATTTATTTGTAAATAAGCCTACTCCATGAGACCTTATACATAAGTTTTCTTAGATAGATATTGTTTTAAAAAACATAAGAGATAATTTGAAAAAAAAAATTGTAATTTTTTTAAATATTTTATTACATGGGCATTCCATGGATCAACCTACTGCCAGGTTACCTTGTTGCTCTGTGGTTTTTAGACCTGAAAACATGAAAATTTACTCGAACTCTGGTGCAAGGAAAACCATGAAGGATCGAAGGCAGTGAACTTTGACATTTACATTATTTTATAAGAATAGGGCTACGGAAAACAGCAAAAGGACGTCTCTGATCTGACGTCAGTGATCTGCCACCAAACGACCAAACCAGGGATAATCGCCGTAATTGCAATCTTGAGATGAAATAAAAGCAGCTTACGTCGTTTCGGTCCTTGTCCCCTGTTTAATTATTTAGGGCTCATTCCCTCCCAACCTCGCCGCCGTTGTCGCCGTCGCTCGCATACTCGAACCCAGTCTGAACCGGTTCAAGTCCCTCATTCTGCCGTTCTCGCATCACACTTGTGCTTCTCAACTTCTTTCCTCTCGTGGTTGCTGCCTCAACAATTGGAAGGGGATCCAAATTCTCTGTTAGTCTTTGGAATTGAAGGCAGTTAGCTCTCAATTTTGCTGATTTTGGTTTGAAAAAATTAATCTTTTAATCCTCCAACTTTTAAATCACTTATAACTCAGTCTCTCAACTATGACTTATTATGACTCAGTCTCTCAATTACGACTTACTTATGACTCAATCTCTTAACTTTTAAATCACTTATAAATTAATCCCTTAACTTTTGTTAATTTTTTTTCATGTTAATTTATATCTTACATCAATGAGCAAGAAGAGGATATTTTAAAATAATATATAAATATTTTTTATCCCTTTTATTTAATAAGAAATTTTAAAAAAAATTAAAAATAAGAATCGAGTTATAGGTGAATTAAAAGTTGAGGGACTAAATCACAGCGAGTCATAGTTGAGGGACTGAGTCGCAGCGAGTTATAATTGAGGATTGAATTACAAGTGAGTTAAAAGTTAAAAATTTAAAAAATTAATTTCTCTTTGGTTTTATATGATTTAGGGTGTCAATTTGATACTAGTTTTTTTTTCTTTTTTAATTTAAAAAATTAATCTTTTAATTCTTTAACTATAATTAATAAGACTCAATCCAAAGTTTGAGACAAATTAATCCATGTCATTAATGAATCAATTATAATCTTTCATGAATAATCTGATGTGACACAAGTATGTAATTAAAATTTCTCCAACTCAGCTCCATGCAGACTTTGGAAAAAAAATAAAGGAAAAATGGCAATTAAAACTTCAAAATTATTAATTTTAATTTAAAATTATAAAATATTTAAATTCTAATAAAAAATTATGATCTTTATTTAAAATTTTTAAAAATATAAATTATCTTAAATGTCTCTCGGAACAAAAAAAAAAATCAAAATACTCCCACAAATGCCCCAATTTTGCTCTGAATTATTTACAACCATGTTGTCTGTATGTTTCACTCATCACTATCATAATTTCTTTCTCCTTTCACCGTAACTTTTTGCACCAATGTTGCATCAATCATCGATAATCACTGTGCTCACCAAATTGCTTCATTTGTCATTGATTTTAGTCTCCTTATTTGGTGCCATAGTTTCATCGCACTCTTGATCATAGCTTCAACCACAATAACATTCCCATGTACTTCATTCTCTACCATAGCTCCTTCCATCACATTGTCTCCAAAGCATTTTTTGTTAAATGTCCAGGTGACTCTCCTTTTATTTAACAGTGGTTTGTCTTGATTTTTCAAGTGATTTAGATAAAATTCCAACTACCATTAACAATATTTTCATGTTATGACAGTGATTTCAACAATAAAGATATTTTATTTTTTAAATTATCTAATTATAACAATTATAAAATTTGACAAATAAGCGAATTGATATTCTTAAGTGAAGTTAATAAATTTTCAAGTCATCTTAATATATTCATATGCGACCTTAAAATGTTTTAAAAATGAGTTTTTGAAATTGTGGAAAATAATCTACTTTCAAATGAGGTTCCATATATTCCTGAGGGACATTAACAATATTCTCATGTCATATTAATAATTTCAATAATGAAGACACTTTGTTTTTTAAATGGTCTAACTATACATTAACAAACATGAAATTTGACAAAATCAATGGGTTGATATTCTTGAGTTAAATTAACAAATTTTTAAGTCACTTTTGTATATTCATATGTGACCTTGAAAAGTTTTAAAAGTAAATTTTTGAAAATACTGAGAAATAATATATTCTTAAGTGAGGTTTTATGTATTCTCAATGTACATTAACAATAATCTCATATCATGTTAGTGATTTCAACAATGTTATGTTATCAAAGTATATACACTTTTGCATATTTAAACACAAAACAAACAACAGTATTACATTACACTAATTTCAGTACATGTGCACCATATTTATATATTTTTTTACACAAAAATATTATCTCATCTACCTTAATGGTAGTTGTGCAGTTTGCTTTCTGAAAAATTACTTGGATTGCAAATCCATTTACGTAATTTGTCACCATCATAAATACAAAAATATAGTGTGAATGTCTATATAAAAAGCCATTTAACAACAAAACACACTAAATAAATAAAAATCAAATATATTTTAATTTCAAACCAATTAATATGCATATAGTTTTCTTCTTCTTTTAATCCTTGCACTAAATTAAGATTTCTAATTCTATTCTTAGTATGTCCATCTTGATTATATTTTGAATAATGATACACCTTTTTGTTATAAAATTGTGACTCTCTTTGCTTAGTGTGTGGTCGTCCTAAATGACATACAATCATATAATAAATAAACCTGTCACGTGAAAAATAAATCTGGATCAACTAAAAACAATACAATAATTTATTACTTTATAACTATTTTTTCAAAAATCTCAAATATGACTTCAACAATTTACCATTCACAATATATCTTTCAATATTATCACACTTCTCATCATTGATTTTTTTTTTTTGCAATATAATGATAAAAAATAATATAATTTTTTTTACTCAATTTTTTAACACTGTTTTTGTCAGAAATTACAATGCTCTCTCAGTGCAATCGGCAAGAATGATTACAGCGAGAAAGCGGCGAGATCGTCGAGGAAGCGGGCGGCCAATAGGCTGGGTTCAAGAGATTGTGGATGTTTGCCGGATCGAAGTCTGAGACATGGTATTCGTAGTTTTGGGATGCTGTGGATTTAAGGTTGGACCTGAAACTCGGTCTTCTGAGCTTGAAACTTCGGTACTGTGGATGAAAACAAGAGCATGTGGATTTGCTTCTGAACTTTTGTGAACTCAGAAGCAGATTTTTTCTTATAATTTTTATGAATGAGAATAAAAGGAAGATCTGGTGAAGTGAACTTGGAAGTTTTTTTTTTTTTTGGGGCCTGGAAACGTGATAGGAATCAACTATCACAACAACATCGTCGATTTTAATTCCTTCTCGAAGATTTGGTTTTCATCTCAATTTCCCTATCCTTCCTTTAATTGTAACAGCATTATCAGTTCTTTTTTCTGTCAAACTTTGCTAATTGATCATGGAGATAACAGAGTTGTAAGCGATTAATGCTTCAAAGTTCAAACTTTCTTGACCTTCCCCTGCGTCCGTCCTTTGCAGCACAGAACCTTTTTTTTTTTTTCCTCCCGAATTTTTTAAAAACAATCACATGAAGCTGAGTTAGAAGCTTATGTCAATTTTATATATTGATGATATATTTGCTAACTGAATTAGTGTGTTTTAGTGATTATTGATTTGTGTTTCTTCCAACAGATAGATGTTAAGGACCTGACTTCTACGTTGGCTGATGATCAAGGGGAATGCTCCATTGCAGGTAGTCATACGCTCGACACTTCAGCTTCTATTTTAATGTTCTTGATCTCACCTTAGTCACATCAGATGTTATCCATGCTCAATCAACTTATTTTATTCGATTCAAGCCCTGAACAATTGATCCTAAGTTTAGTTTGAGTCATCGAAGAATTGGTACAGCCCTATCAATTGATCCTTTTTGTATTTTATCTGACCTTGGTTCTTTTGTGTTCATGAATGCTTTCTCATGAATTGGTGTGCTGCATTGAATAATTTTTGTTTGGATTTGTTACTTGTTTTACGTTAATTTTGATATCATGGATAGCCTATTTAAAGCCTACATATTGGAGGCTTTCAGCCTAGCAAAGCCCATATAAAGCTTTTAAGGCCCGAATCGAAAAGCCTTTTTAAAGGTTTCTGTGCGTTCAGACCAAGCCATGCCTATCACAATCACAAGCTTAGGCTTGTGTGGTTACAGACCCGACCTGTTCGCACTCCTATTTGAGCGTGGGTTGGATCCCCCCCCCCCCCCCGGCCGGGGGATATTTTGGTTTTTTCTTGATATTTATAATTATATTTAGTAAAAAATTTATCTGACTTTCGTAGAGATACCAACAAACTTTAGTCAAGCGTGAAAATTAGCAGCTACCCTGTGCATGAGTAGCTATCAAGAACTTCTTCGACATGGCCAACATCTCCACAGGTTGCTCAAAGCCTGCTCTTCAATTCGTTCCGTCAGAGGAACGAAATCTCTCCATGCCCTCACCGTCACAATGGGTCCAACTCCAAATCAATCCACCTTCATCTATAATAATATCATGTCTTGTTATCTATCACTTGGCGAGCTGCTTCTTGCACGCAAGTTGTTTGACACATTGCCTCAGAAGACAATTGTTTCTTATAATACACTTATTGTTGCTCATGGTCGATGCGGAGATGTAGTCGAGGCTTGGGATTTATTCTTTGAAATGAGGTGTTATGGATTACAGCCAACCCAGTACACACTGAGTGGGCTGTTGTCGTGTGAATCACTTCATCTTTCTCAGGGTGTTCAGTTACATGCCTTGAGCATAAAGAATGGGCTTTTTTATGTGGATGCTTTTGTGGGGACTAATTTGTTGGGTTTGTTTGGGAGACATGGTTTCTTGGATGAAGTGTTTCTAGTGTTCAAAGATATACCCCAAAAGAGCTCGGTGACATGGAACTCAATGTTGTCTGTGATGGCGCATAATGGGATTGTTGAAGATTGTGTGCTTATGTTTCGTGATCTTGTAAGGATGGGGGTTCCATTGTCTGAATATACTTTTGGGGCTATTTTGTCTGCATTTGATTCGGAACAAAACTTGAAATACGGTGAACAGTTACATGTTTTAATAACTAAATGTGGATTCGATTATCAAGTTAATGTAGTTAGTTCTCTTGTCAGAATGTATGTCAAATGTAAAGGCATGGTCTTGGCACAAAAATTGTTTGAGCAGATGCCAGTTCTGAATGTTGTATCCTGGAATATAATCATTGATGTATGGGCCAAAAGTGAGAGGCCTCAAATGGCATTGAAGCTCTTTTCAAATATGTCCAACAGGATTGATGCCTAGTCAGGCCACATTTGTAGCTGTTATGAACTCCTGCATTAATTTGAAAATTCCAGTCCATGGTGAGTTCATCCATGCTAAGGTTATAAGGAGTGGTTTTAAATCTGATGTTGTTGTGGGTACGACATTGGTAGACTTCTATGCTAAATGCGGTGAATTGGTGAATGCCCATAAATGTTTTGATGAGATAGAAGACAAGAATTTGGTCTCTTGGAATGCTCTGATTTTGGGTTACTCAAATCAAGGCTCCTCTACATCTGTTATTTTATTACAACAAATGCTTCAATTGGATTACCAACCTAATGAGTTTTCCTTTTCAGCCGTTCTCAAGTCATCATTGGTGTCAGACCTACATCAGCTTCATTGTTTAATCATAAGAATGGGATATGAGAATTTTGATTATGTCCTAAGTTCACTTCTGATGTCTTACACTCGAAATGGTCTCATAAATGAAGCCCTGACCTTTGTCAAAGATCTGAACAATCCACTTCCTGTTGTCCCATCAAACATTGTTGCTGGCATCTATAACAGAACTCGTCAGTATGGTGAAACACTGAAATTTCTTTCTTTGCTAGAAAAACCAGATGTTGTATCTTGGAATATTGTCATTGCAGCATGTGCTCGGAGCAATAATTATAATGAGGTTTTTGAGCTGTTCAAGAGTATGCGTTCTGCCCATATTCATCCCGATAATTACTCATATACAAGCCTGCTGTGTGTGTGCACCAGACTCTGTAGTTTGGCATTGGGCAGTTCTCTTCATGGACTTATTATAAAGACTGATATCAATAACGGAGACACATTTTTGAGCAATTTACTTATTGACATGTATGGGAAGTGTGGAAGCATTGATAGTTCAGTGAAAACTTTTGAAGAAACAAAAGATAGAAACCTAATTACGTGGACAGCTTTGATCACTGCCCTTGGGCTGAATGGTTATCCTCATGAGGCGCTAACGAGATTCCGAGAAATGGAGATGACAGGACTGAAGCCTGATGCATTAGCTCTCCGAGCAGTGCTATCAACTTGCAGATATGGTGGATTGGTGAAGGAAGGGATGGAATTTTTTAGGAATATGACAATTATTTATGGGATTCAACCTGAAATTGATCATTATCACTATATAGTTGACCTTCTAGCTAAAAATGGATCTGTTGTGGAAGCTGAGAAAATCATTGCAAGCATGCCTTTTCCTCCAAATGCTAATATATGGCGTACCTTCCTTGAAGGCTGCAAGAGACAAGAAACTGCAAATAGACTTGTATAGCAAAACCTAATATTCTACATGACTTCTTGTTATCATATTACCTCAACTAGATCAAATGCTGGAGGACACTTGAAGAAAATATGGATGCTTTTTAAGTGTTAATACTTGAAGCATCACCAGATCTCCAAACTATTTTTTCTTTCGCCACATGCTAATTCACAGTTTAGAAAGCTGCCTTATATGAAGCAATCTAAATTTGGTTCAAATAACCCTCTTTATTTTGAAGAAGTGGTTTCCCTTTATCATTCAGCCTATGTTTTTTGGTTTGGTCTTACCTATCTAGTCTCTTTTATTGTTGTTGTTGTTGTTTTTTTTTTTTTTTCTGTTAATGGAAAAAAGCAGACATGACCTCATGTTTACTCTCTCATTTCGCAAGCCTCACTATTATCATCATTAACATGCATTTGTGTCATCTTGGTTTTGTTGCATGATTCATCTTTCTCAATCATGACGAATCTGCTTGAGTTTCTTATTTTTGAGTTGATCAATCGGCACACGTTATTTCTTGCAAGTAAATGAACTGACACGTGTGTGTATTTTATCCTTCCCCCTCCTCTCTCTCAGATTTGTTTTGGCCAATGTTGTCTCACATAAGAAAGTTGAGACTACCGTACATATTAAGTTCTGAAAATTTTGATTTTTTATCTCCTGACAGTTCATAGAAAGGCTGGTTAATCAGCATGCGTTCAAGCCTTTTGTGAGGAAGCAGAGCAACGGCCTACATCAGGCAAGCATATTCCTTGGGTGAGAATAGATTGTCTTATATAAGATTATTATTTTCTTAAATGCCCCTTTCTTATGACCAGTGTGAACAAGAATTCAATGAACTCGATATAGCATCGCCATGCTATCTAAAGCTCTTAAATATATTAAACCCCGCTGGGTCCTTTTGGAAGGGGTTGTTTGTACAAAGAATGCACTTGGCAGGATAGAGAATGCAAGGGGAGTGAAATGAAAAAAAACTTGGTAAATGATCGTAGTTTATATATGTATTTTTTTTTTTCAAGAATTCAGAAGCTATAATCCACTTGGACGTCGCCCGTTTTAGACATAGAAGTAAGCATTTGGTTAAATCAATAAACCATTAAACTAATGTCATGATCAGTTTAATGAAATATTTTATCTATAACTAATCAGATCATAATTCAAGTACGATTTTGACTATCAATAATTAAACCAAGTCCTTGATCGGTTTAATAACATGTCCAGTTTTAGTGCCTGGTTTCAAATGGCCTTTCATTTGGTGTTGTAAAAAATGAAAAACAAAATTCTAGCTGTAATAAACTTAAAACAAACTCTCCAGAGCAAAATAAATTTTCGATTCAATGAAAATTTGAAAACAGCATTCAATAAGGAACTTAGGTGAGAACTAACACAGGAAAACAATGGTGTTTTGAATCACTATCAGAATTCTTTATGCTTGTGAGATTGTTGCGTCTTGTTGCGATTAGCATAACTCTTGGCATGAAAATCAACAAAGAGAGCCAAAAGTGAAGCATTGAAAACCGCATTGAAGCACCAACCCGAGAACCCGGAACATCCGGATCCCCCGAAATGGTAATACAGCATCACACCCGACACCGCGAAGCTGAACAAGAACTGCACGATCTGGCAATCCGTCACGACCCGCTTCCACTTGGGTCGGACCCCCAAGGCGCTCATCAAGTAGTACCCGTACATGAGCACGTGCACGCACGTGTTTGTCACGAGCGCCAAGGGGAACAACGACTGTGAAGTCTGGAGCCACAAGTAGCACATGATCAGGACCGTCGCGTGGTGGTACACGTGGAGGAACGTAAGCCGTCGGATGGAGTTGCCGACGATGATGAGGACGGTGTCGACGAGTTCCAGAATCTTCGAGAGGTAGAAAACGTAGGCCCAGAAGAAGAGAGGCCCCGAGGGAGGGGTTTTAGGCGGGAAGCAGATAATCCAATGTAGGTGAGGCGTATGGAAGGCAATGGTGAGGATACATCCGAGAGCCATGGTGAAGGAGAGGAGGAGAAGGATGAGGTTGTGGACGATGGAGATTGATCTGAGAATATGAGGTTTAAGGGGAGGGAGACGGAGGAGAGGGAGGAGGAAGGTGAGAGAGAGGTAGGAGAGGAGAGTTAGAGAGAGAAAGAGAGGGGAAGAGCCTAGGGTTTGGCCTTGGATCCATGAGAAGTTTAGAATCGATGGGTGGTTCACTAACCAGTACTGGAGGCTCGACACTGTGGGATTCATCCTCGCCTTCACGCGCCACCGTGTCCGGCGGCAGACTCTGAGTTATTGTGCAGGAGAGTCGCGGAATTGGCAGTGCAGGAGTTTTTTTTTTTTTTTTGGGCCAGCGGAACTGAAGGAATTGACTTGAAGGATAGTTTGCGGAATGTGTTATCTACTAAACGTTTTCTTCGCTTGTGGGCCCAGCAAGCCTCGGATTGGGCAAGTTGCACATCGCTCAACGCCATTGTTTTGCAAATTCTATTTGCAAGAAATTTGAGAATATTTATAAGAAGAATCAGTCCTGCATAGTACCTGTCAATTTAGTTTTATTTAATTTTAATAATTAATGGGTAAGTGAGCAAATTAGTTTCTCAATTATAAATTTAAGTATATTTGGGATCTAAAATTTTTTTTGATGCAATCTTCATTTTCAATTTAAGAAAATGGTATTAGTTAAGGTTGAATTTAATGAAAAAAGTTAGTCATTCATAACGTGATGAATATGAATCAATGTTTTAATTTTTGTTGAAAGATGTGCTCTAATTTAGTACCCCACACTACTTTGAGTAGGATTGAATCTAATAGGAAGATACTTGTGAGGTAAAAAAAGAAAAGACTATTGAAAATTGTGTAATTTATTTCCTACCATTAATAAAAATTAATTTTGATTATTTGTTGATTAAAAAATGATTACATAAAAAGATCAAAAAAATTTCAATAAAAAATTCAAAAATTACAGATAATGATTCAAAAAATTAAAAAAAAAGTTAAGAAAATTTTATTGGTCATCTTTTATAATTTTTGATATTTTTTTAATTTTTTTAGTTAATTAAGAAAATTTTATTAATCATCTTTTATAATTTTTGATGCTTTTTTAAGTTTTTAGTTAATTAATGGGAAAAGTTTATTGTAGTTAATAATAAGAGTTAGATTATATTGTTTTTAAAACTTTAAAAAAAATTACATCAAAAATAAATATAAAATTCAAGACCTTTTTAAATTTATAATTTAAAGTTCAATTTGTTTATTTATCTTAATTAAATTTCTCTAATGCTTCACCTTCCTCTTTTAATTTCATTTTGTTTTAATTGAGTGATTATATATTCTTATATTGATGATGGAAAAATAATAGTTATATTTTAAAAGATTAAATTATTAAACTCTAAATTTATCACAAAAAATTTTGAAAACATAAACTGTGTGAATATAGATTCAAATTGTTACAAATAAAAATTACCCTTACAATTAAGAGTTACATACTTAAATATTTATTTGTGATTAAAATTTTTGAATTTATATTTATTTTGATTGATATTTTTAATTTAGTTTTCAAAAATTTTTGCTGAAAACTAACTATTGTTAATTTAATGTTCCGAGACTATCCGTGATTCTCCCTGTATTGATTGATGATTACTCATTATTGAGCAAACAAATTCACAGAACTTGTTCTTTTCTTGCACCTTTTGTTTATATTAATTTTAACTGGGGACAATTCACAAAACTTGGTTTGAGTGGTGGCTGGCTTGTGCATCGTCTTTGTCCTCATCCTTGACCCTGTAATCTAACGATCATGTTGGGTTCGGCTGCTCCTCACCCTTTCTGGTTACCGGTAGGCAAGGCGGATCCTTGTTCGCTTGATCTCATCGCCACCGCCGCTTCCCTCCACTTCGGCCACTTTCTCCGCCGCCGCCTCAGCTACAATTCCCGCCTGCGGTTTCTTCTCCAGTCCTGTTTCAAGGTCCCTTTAATTTCAAAATTTGTTTTCTTCTCCTTCAGTTCAGCGTCCATTTTTTGACAATGCGTTCGCAATTGCAATATGTTCGGGATAAGTTGGCCTTCTCTTTTGGTGGTTACTTGTCATGACTATCCCTTTCTTTAAAAGATTTGTTCTTTTATGCTTGATATCTTATCAAAGAATTTGATTATAATATATGCATAGCTGAGGTTTGCACGAGCCTGCCTGGGTAGTATAGTAGTTGAGTTTCTAGATAGACGGGGTTTTAATTGATCATCATGTTACTGGATTCATGTTGTTTGAAATGCTGTGAAAGGGAATGCCATTATTATTATTTTTGATAAGAAAGGGAATGCCGTTGTTGTTTGGCTGCTCCGCTGGTCCTTGATTAAAAAATAGCCATTTGGTCGGTTGCGAACTATTTAACTAGTTTTACGGCCCAATTTCAAGGTTTGGGACTCAAGTCGCCCATTGGAAATTGTGGGATTCCAATTTTGAATTTATATGAACCTTGGTTTACTTAAACCCATGTCCGATCTTTTTGGGTTTGGCTTTGGCTCTTTCTACGGTTCATATCTAAGGTATCAGAGCATTGAACTGCCCTCCACTCTCTTTCAGTCCTTCTCTTTCTTTTCCTCTCCCAAAAGTTATGGGATGCTTAGTTATGACCCTTGAGTGTCATGTTGGAAGGGATTCTAGCGTACAGTCTTTTATGAATATTGGGTTCTCCAATTTCACAAACTATCTTTCAGTGTATGGCTCCGAAAGTCCATATCAACTAGCATGCTATTAAAGCTTCCTCTTTATAGCTTTTTAAAATCTTATTGCATGTCTTGGCATTTAGAATTAAGCCATGGTATCTTTTCTTATGGTTGTTTGGCTGCATTCTGATTCTGTTCTCTCATTTTTTGCACAGAAACTCCCTCCTTTGAATCATGCATTCAGATGGAAGGATATATGTTGTGAAAGAGCCCTCCAGTTTAAAGAAATCAATTTTCATCAATTATCAAATGATGTTTTAACTTCCACTTGTTCAATTAGTTTCTCTTTCTTTAATGGGGGAGAACATAGAGCACGCGTGGGAAATGATGGGATGTCTAATTCCAAGATGTCCAGCCAGAGTCCATTCAATGGAAGGAAATGGACTAATATTCTCCTTGCTGCCAATATCTTGTGAGTATCGGCATGTTTGATTGAATGGTTATTTTTTCTAGACAAAATTTATATGTCCATTTTGTGCACATAGCTTGCAACAGCAAGTCCACTGTGGATTATTTTTTTTAATTATACTATTATAATTTTCTTAGCTACTTATCTCGTGCACTTATTTATTTATTTATTTTTTAGCCAAATTTACATAGAAGCTAGTCTAGTGGCTTATTGCTTATAAACCATTATCTCAGAATTTATATTGCACAACTTGCAACACAAGGAAAGCTTTTGTTCTGGGGAGCTAAGGTAAAGCTTCCATTAAAATTTCACCAAAAAAACAGTTGCCATTAAATTGAAATCCTTAATACTGTCACATATTTACTTGTTGGCTGCGTGTCACAAGATTAACAGTCTAATTGACAAGGGACAATTGTGGAGGCTCATCACTTCTTCGTTTTTCCATGCAAACATTTGGCACCTTATGGTTAGGTTTGGATTTTCTTGCCTGAATTTTGTTTGTTAATATGCCTTGTTTGTCTGTATCTTAAAAAATTATTGCATATTTCCTGCAGGTTAATTGTTACTCATTAAATTCAGTTGGTCCCACTGTGGAAATTTTCAGTGGTCCTAGGAGATATCTTGCTGTTTACTTTGTCTCAGCAATTGCAAGTAATGGCTTATTTTCTTTCTTCAAAATGTCAAAAACCGATAAGTGCTTACCTACAACTACAAGTATTCTGATTCCATAACTTCTAGAAACTCAGGTTCAGCAATGAGTTATTGGTTCTGCAGAATGCCTTCAGTAGGTGCATCAGGGGCAATTTTTGGACTAGTAAGTTGTTTGAAATATTATTTTTTGTGGTCCAAATCAAATATTAATTTTTAACTGTGTGGATAGTGGACTTAATATATCTGTTTTTTTTTTTTTCCTTGGCTTAATTGTTGGAGCTGATTCCATTTGTAATTTTGCATTCTATAAGATGACAGCTATTTTGAAGTTTATCTTTAACAGTGACACTGAAGTTACATGGTTATGGAAGAACGTTAATGCCCTTTTATAGTATAATATATATCTTTATCTCCAGCAACCATCAACTTTGGGCCAAGTTTAATGGTGAATAAGAATTGAATAAAACAAAAAACAACCATCAACTTTGAATAAAGGCTCATCAGTTGAGGCACTGAGTGTTTCCACTGGAAAATGTTTAGACTATAATGATGGCGTCGACATACAAATTAACACCACAGGATGACAGAGAACAACAATGCTGGTTCTTGTGAAGACTTTAAACTTTAAGACAGAATCTGGAGGAGGAGATAGAATGAACGTTGTCTTATAATATCAATTGTTAACCATACACCTATCCTCATTTTGGATTTTGCAAAGCATGGATTTAACAATTCACTGTCATCTGTCCTGTACAAATAAAAAGTGATGGAGGGATATGTATACCCAAAAAAAGTGGAGGAAAAGAAGCTTAGAGAAAGGATGATTAGGGTAGGGTTTAATTCAGTAAGTACCTAAAGACAGTCATGCTAGCTGGCATCTGCTAAATTTTTATGATCCTTTACTATGGCCCAAAAAGAGGAAAAAATAATTTGAGGTAGACAAATGAGGTGTCAAGGTATGGCTATCAATGATGCTGAGAAAAACTTGCCTCATTCCTCCCCCCCTTTTTCTTAAAATTTGTTCAGAATTGCATCTGTCCCAAATGACTTCGATGGTTTGACTCCACTTGTATGAGTAGCTATGAAATAGATATGTTTGTTTTCTCTTCTTTATCCTCTAGTTCTAATCAGCTGTACATGATTTAGGTTGGATCAGTTGCTGTGTTTGTGTTGAGGCACAGGGAACTGGTAGGAGGAGGCCAAGAAGATTTACAACATATAGCGCATATAATTGTCCTTAATATGGTAAGTGTTTTTTTCCCTTGTGTTGGAATATCTGACATCTTTTACTTTCCAAGCTTTTGATGTCATATCTTCAAGGTCCATTATCAGCTAGTAAATTAGGATTTGTTTTCTAAAGTGCTCAGCTCACTTTTGTGTTGACTACCTTTTTCTTTAAATTAATTCGCGTTCCTTTTATCCCAAGGACAACAAATATAGCATTTGCTAGAATGCTATTTTTGAATATTACAATCTTTACTAGCACAATACGCTATACTAGAAAAAAACATGTTGTGCATGTTTTTGGAAGATATTTTTATTTTGTTCCGAGATTGTGGAGAAAATTTCTTACATTGTTGATACTTGATGATCTGAGTCACAGCATCGTTGCATCTTTTGACTTGACAGTGTTCTTTTGCAGATCATTGGGCTATTATCAAATGGCATTGACAATTGGGGTCATGTAAGTATCACATTGCCCTATTTTTTTTAAATGAAAAGAGGCCAACAATAAGGTTATCCTATAGCGTCACCCTTCTTAGATCAATATATATTCCCATTCAGAGTATAAACAATGAAAATTTCTCTCTTAAAACTCCAGCATTGTATTGAGCTCTTTTGAAGGTAACATGTCACCTTCTCTCCAATGACCAATGCCGTGTTAATAGTTGATTACCAGTTTTTAAATGTTGAAATTTCAATGGAAAATAAGAGAGCACGCTATTTGATGGGTAAAGCTTGAATTAGCAGTTGGCTAGTTGCATAATTTCAGTGAGATTACCCCATCTCATAACCAGTTGATTTGCAAAATAAAATGGAAAGAACAGAAAATAGGATAGAACCGAGAATTTCGTGAATAGGAAATGTATTTTATGTCTTCTACTAAAAATAATATTAAAAGCGGTTATTTCTTTAGTAATGATAATAAGAGTGTAGCAGATATCACATTTTCTTTACGTGTGAAGGAGAAGGAATGTTTTTTTCCATATATATATATATATATATAAACAAATGGCCCCTCATCCCCCTCCTCTCACACATTCAGTTTCTTTTGACTTGAATCTAGCCCTTACTGTCGAAGGCACAAATTGGGATTGGCTAACTTCCTATAACATATACCCCCTCTGGTCCTGGAAATAAGAACTAGTGGGAGGTTTTGGTCATAAATATAAAACCTTGATCTTCTTTGTTTTGGTCAGTTAGGAGGCTTGATAGGTGGAGCTGCTGCATCTTGGTTGATTGGACCAGCGTGGAGGCTTGAATCCATAACTAGGGATGGAAGAAAAGTATTTATCGACAGGGCACCAATGTATAATATCGTCCGAATTAAGAGAGTTCCTAGGCAATGGAAATAGATACACACCATTATTTGTATGGAAAATATCACTTCATGTTACTATACTTTAATTAGGTTTTGTTTTTAGTCCATATAATTTATTTTCATGATTTTTCATCCTTCTGTTATTCTATCCGAAATGTTGGTCTCCTTATTTCTAAAAATATTTAGAAGGACCATGAGTTAATCCAAACAATATTAATTTTACGTAGGTCCAATGTCCTTATTTTTCTTTGATGCCCTTCTCCATCTCACTGGCTTATAATGGTTTTAAGAAAATGGGGTTCTTGTTTTTTATTCAAACCAAATTTTTAATTAGATAATTTTATAATTTTTTTAGGTCAATGTGTTTTTTCTTAGTCATCTAATGAGTTGAATAGTGTTATGTCCACTTTAGCAAAATTACCACCAATTGAGTCATCTCCTGGTTCTTTTGAGCGAGGTTTCAAAAACTGAACCAATTATTAAATTAGATTAGGTGTTAATTTATGGTTTATTGATTGAATTGTAATTGAATCGATTCGCATTAAATTAATATATTTTTTATTTTAATTTATGTATCATAATTAAATAAAAAATATATTTAAATATGTATTTTTAAAAAAAATTATAAATGCTTGGTAATATAATTTATCATTGATGAATACATGATTAATATTAATTATAAATGAAGTTTTTTATTTAAAAATTAAGAAAAATATTAATAGAATGATAAAATGTTAGACACTATTTGAAGGTATGTTTGAGCTAAATTAAAAATATTAAGTTTAAACAAAAAAAAAAATAAGTCGCTTAAAATTGCAGCCGTAAGCCTGTAATTGATATTTGACAAGAAGTCGCGTCCTCGAGTTTTCAGAGCCATTTCAGATTGTATAAGACGTGTGTAACATTGGAACGCCATAAAACGCATATCATTATATTGCCATGCATCTAACATGCTCAGAGAGCCATTTCAACCAGTCAGCATAGAGAAGGGAACGACATAACATGAACATTTTTTTTTTTTGGGCACAATATGGTAAACGAAAAGCAACCCTAAAAGGGGATCAATCTAGAGGTTTTGGCATACCCATCTGGTGCAAGTACCTCGTCGGCTCGTCATGCGGCTCCTCTAATCCTGTTGATTTAGATGAGCTATATAGGCTAATGATTAATTATCATTCAAAAATTCTTATTGCATTGGTTTTAGAGATAAGATTACTCAAGATCAATGCAATATTTTATTTATAATGAGAGAACAACAATTTAATAAAGACTCTCAGTCCGTTTTATCAAGAGTTGAGTTGCCTCATTTACAAATTTTCAAAATAGGCTGAACAAGTGATATGATGGCTACTTATCTACTTATTCACCAATTGAAAATGAACATGTAAGCAAACAAGAGTCTCAAAATTTTAGTCAATTTTATTACATGCCAACTTCATCATTATCATCACCCCTCTTCACCTTTTCTAATCTCACCCAATTTGAGTTTTAGTATATGCCACTCTCATCATCATTCCTTTTCAGTTCATCTACTCATATTCAATTTGGATCAATCATGTCTTTACTTGATGATCATACATTATTTTTTGTTGAATACAACACTTTTACTTTTGAATATGGTGGACCATCAAAAAAGCATAAGCCATCGTTGATAGTCGATTTTTTTAATTAAATCATCTTGATTTAATTTAAATACACCGACTATACAAATAAATGAAACATTTGATTCTTAAAAAGAGAAAAACATTCAACAACAACAATGACCACAACGTATGAGAAGGAAAACAAAATGTGGCACCAGAAATTACTATTTATGAGGCAAATTAATTTTCACTTTTCAGTCATATAACTCAATCATTTATTATTAATTTACATAAAACCTTAAAATTATTTATTTATTATTAATTTTTAATTTAATACACCTCATAATAATTTCTTAATTATATTAGTAATAATTTTTATTCAGATGATTGCTAAATTATTACACAAATTGTGTAGTACAGGTGAAGTTCATAAATCATTCTTACCAAGAATAAGTTTTGGAGTAAGAAAAGTGATATATTAAAGAAATTATTTTTGGTTTGATGAATTTTAACATTCGTTCTCCCCCCAGCAATTTTAAACATAGTATTTTGAGAAATAATTCCCACGTGCAGCATTTTGGTATTTTATTTTACATTGTATAGTATCTCAGTAAAAAAAAAAAAAAAAAAAACCGATCCTTGTTCGCTTGATCTCATCGCCACCGCCGCCTCCTTCCACTTCGGTCATCTTCTCCGCCGTTGCCTCAGCTACTATTCCCGTCTTCGGTTTCTTCTCCAGTCCTGTTTCAAGGTCTAACTCCAAGATGTCCAGCCAGAGTCCTTTCAATGGAAGGAAATGGACTAATATTCTCTTGCTGCCAATATATTGTGAGTGTCGGCATGTTTGATTGAATGGTTATTTTTTCTAGACAAAATTTATTGGTCCATTTTGTGCACGTAGCTGGCAACAGCAAGTCCACTGTGGATTTTTTTTTTATCATACTATTCAAATTTTCCTAGCTACTTATCTTGTACACTTCTTTTTTACCAAATTTACATAGAAGCTAGTCTTGTGGCTTATTGCTTATAAACCATTATCTCGGAGTTTATATTGCACAACTTGCAACACAAGGAAAGCTTTTATTCTGGGGAGCTAAGGTAAAGTTGCCATTAAAATTTCACTAACAAAATTAGTTGCCATTAAATTGAACATCCATCCTTAATATTGTCGCATATTTACTTGTTGGCTGCGTGTCACTAGATTAACAGTCTAATTGACAAGGGACAATTGTGGGGGCTTGCCACTTCTTCCTCTTTGCATGCAAACATTGGGCACCTTATGGTTAGATTTGGATTTTCTTGCCTGGATTTTGTTTGTTAGTATCCCTCCTTTTTCTGTATCTTTAAAAATTACATATTTCCTGCAGGTTAATTGTCACTCATTAAATTCAGTTGGTCCCACAGTGGAAAGTTTCAGTGGTCCTAGGAGATATCTTGCGGTTTACTGTTTCAGCAATTGCAAGTAATGGCTTATATTCTTTCTTCAAAAAGTCAAAAACCAGCAAGTGCTTACCTACAAGTATTCTGATTCCATAATTTTTAGAAACTCAGGTTCAGCAGTGAGTTATTGGTTCTGCAGAATGCCTGCAGTAAGTGCATCAGGGGCAACTTTTGGACTAGTAAGTTGTTTGAAATATTATTTTTTGTGGTCCGAATCAAATATTATCTTTTAACTGTGTGGATAGTGGACTTAAGATATCTGTATTTTTATTTTTATTTTTCCTTAGCTCAATATTGGAGCTGATTCCATTTGTAATTTTGCATTTTACTAGGTAACAACTATTTTATCTTTAGTAGTGGCACTGAAGTTACATGGTTATGTCAGGATGTTAGTTCCCTTGTATAGTATAATATGTATCTTTATCTCCGACAACCATCAATTTTGAATAAGGGTTCATCAGTCAAGGCACTGGATGTTTCCACTGGAAAAAGTTTAGACTATAATGATGGCGTTGACATACAAATTAAGAATGGCAGAACAAAAATGCTTGTTCCTGTGAAGGCTTTAAACTTTAAGATGCAGAATCTGAAGGAGGGGATAGAATCAAGGAATGTTGTCTTATAATGTCAATTCTTGACCATACCCCTATCCTCATTTTTGACTTTGCAAAGCATGGATTGAACAATTCACTTTCATCTGTCCTGTACAAATAAAAAGCAATGGAGGAAAAGAAGCTGAGACAAAGGATGATTAGGTTAGGGTTATTATAATTATAATTCAGTAAGCACCTAAAGACAGGCATGCTCACTAGCATCTGCTAATTTTTTATGATCCTCAAGAGAGGAAAAAATAATGTGAGGTAGACAAATGAGGTGTCAAGGTATGGTTATCGATGATGCTGGGAAAAACTTGCCTCATTTCTTCCCCCTTTCTCTTAAAAGTTGTTCAGAAGTGCATCTGTCCCAGATGACTTTGATGGTTTGACTCCATTTGTATGAGTAGCTCTAAAATAAATGTGTTTGTTTTCTCTTCCTTATTTCTAATCTGCTATGCATGATTTAGGTTGGATCAGTTGCTGTGTTTGTGTTGAGGCACAGAAAACTGGTAGGAGGAGGCAAAGAAGATTTACAGTGTAGAGCGCATGTAATTGTCCTAAATATGGTCAAGTGTTTTCCCCGTTGTGTTGGAATATCTGACATCTTTTACTGTCCAAGCTTTTGATGTCATGTCTTGAAGGTCCATTATATTGAGTTATCAGTTAGTAGCTTAGGATTTTTTTCTAAAGGTGCTCAGCTCACTTTTGTGTTGGCTACCTTTTTCTTTAAATTAATTCATGTGCCTGATTATCCCTTGAATAAATGTAGCATTTGCTAGAATGCTGTGTTTGAATCTTATCTTTAATAGCATTATACACTTTACCAGGAAATGCTTGTTGTGCATGTTTTTGGAAGATATTTTTTTGTTCTGTTCTGAGTATTTGGGGAAAATTTCTTACGTTAGTTGATACTTGATGATCTGAGAACCAGCTTCCTTGCATCTTTTGACTTGACGGTGATGATTTTTTGCAGGTCATTGGGCTTTATCAAATGGCATTGACAATTGGGGTCATGTAAGAATCATGTTGCCTTATCTTTGTTTTATTTAAAAAGAAAAAAAAATTGGAGACCAACAATAAGGTTATCTTATAACGTCACCCTTCTTAGTTCAATATATATTCCTACTTAGAGTATAAACAATGAAAATTTCTCTGTTAAAGCTCCAGCATTGTGTTGACCTCTTTTGAAGATAACATCATGCCGCCTTCTCTCCAGTGCCCTATTCCTAGTTGATTACCAGCTTCTAAATGTTGAAATTTCAATGAAAAATAAGAGGGCATACCTTTTGGTCGGTAAAGCTTGAATTAGCAGCTGGCTAGTTGCGTGATTTCAGAGAAATTACCCCATCCCATAGCCATCTGATTTGCAAAATAAAATGGGAAGAAAAGAAAATAGGAAGGAACATAGGATTTTGTGAATAAGAAATGTTAAAACTGTGTCTGGCCCAAAAGGGAAAAAAAAAACAAATAACCAAAAAACGAAGTGTTGTTTTTGGACATATGCAATGTAGATGTTCTGATGAACAAAGTGAGAAACATAGTAATAAATTTAGATGTCCTAAATAAAAAAAAAAGTCATACAGTCTGAAGATTTTACTTGACCGGAA